GTGCCTGGCCACTTTCTGTCCCTTCTACTTTTTAGGACAACGGATCTGCCAATTGATGACCTCTCAACGCCACTATGAAGAGACACTAGCTGAAGCTGACATCTTTCTCCTCACATTCCGCCTCTAATTTTAAATAAAAAAGGGGGATGTGGGGGCGGGCCTAAAAGAAAGGATGGATGGATGGAAGGAACGTGAGCAGGTGGATGAAGGGTCAGGCGGAAACACCTGCCCGAAGCTGCTTGTTTGCTGGAAACAGCTGACCTGTATGGATGCCGTTAAATTAGCAAATGGCGCTGACCTTTTGCACGTGTCCTTGGAAATAAATACGGGAAGGACTTAGCTGGGGAGGCCATTTTCTCCTGCTCCACCTGGACCGTGAGTTGCGTGCGGCCAGGATGGGGCATCGTGGTCACGGGTGGGCCCTGGCTCCCAGCACAGGACAGGTAGGTGCAAGGAGAAATGGGGACACACAGAAGGAGACAGAGGGAGGTACAGAGAGACATAGATTCAGACAGAAATAAACAAAAATAGACAAAAAGAAACGAGAGAGCCGGAGAGCTGTAGGCAGAGATACAGGACCTGCCTCTCGCCCCACCGTGGCCCTCCCCAGACCCACGGGGACAAGCAGACAGAAATGCACCCCCCTAGTGACCTCTTCCTTAGCACTCCCACAGCAGCAGCCAGTCCTCTCTCAGCTCTGCCCACCTGCCCTCCTGCTGCTGGCCAAGCCCATTAAGCTGCTACCCTGGCCACAACTGAAGGCCCCACGCCCCAGGGAGGAAACCACTGAAGAGGCGTCCCTGCTCCCTGGCGCCCCAAACCATCAATTAGTATTAATGAGGGAAGGCTCTTCACGGCCTAAAGACCCCCATCGAGGCTCAGATGGAGGTGAGGCCCCACCCCCGTGACTCAGGAGGTTAAAGGGCTTGGGGCCCGCCTGTGAGCCCAGAGTGTCCCGATGGCGTGTGGCAGCGGGAGGGTCACCATCCAGCTGGTGGGCGAGGAGGCAGGGGCTGGAGCCAGCGGCCTGCAGCTCTTCCGGGGCCAGAGATACGAGGCGATCCGGGCAGCCTGCCTGGATTCCGGGATCCTGTTCCGAGACCCTCATTTCCCTGCCGGCCCCGATGCCCTCGGCTACGACCAGCTGGGGCCGGACTCGGAGAAGGCCAAAGGGGTGAAATGGATGCGGCCCCATGTAAGTTGCAGCTGGGGGCCTGGACCCCCGGGTCCGAGGGAGGCGGTGGGAAGGGCTGGGAATGGGACCCCCAGGTCTGAGGGAGGCAGTGGGATAGGGCTGGTAATTGGAACCCAGGTCTGAGGGAGGAGGCACTGGGGGTTGGACCCCTGAGTCTGAGGGAGGCAGTGGGAAGGGCTGGGAATGGGACCCCCGAGTCTGAGGGGGCTACCATGGGGCTAGTTCAGCACAGGTTCGGCCACCTGGGGCTCAGGGAGGCCTGGGGAAGCCAAGCCCCTGTCCCCAGGCTTTGCAGGCCTCTCCCGAGCTAAGGCCCTTGTTACTCTGGGGCGTGGGGCACAGGAGGGGACACAGGCGTCTGACCTCCCAATGGCTCCTTCCCTCGCTTTCCCGCACTGAGCCCTGGAACCCCTCACCCCCAGGAGTTCTGCGCGGAGCCCCAGTTCATCTGCGAAGACATGAGCCGAACGGACGTGTGTCAGGGGAGACTGGGTGAGACCCCTGAACCCATCTTGAGCCCTCGGATCCAGCAGGTTTCCGCGGGGACCCTGACGGCTCTGCCCCTCGGTCTCCTCACCCAATCCGAGCCCTTCCTCCCAGGTAACTGCTGGTTCCTTGCGGCCGCCGCCTCCCTCACTCTCCACCCCCGACTCCTGTGCCGCGTGGTCCCTCCTGGACAGGGCTTCCAAAGTGGCTACGCAGGCATCTTCCATTTCCAGGTATAGCTCAGTTCCTCTGTCCGTGCCTCAGTTTCCCTCATGGTGACGTGGTGGTATGGATCTCTCCTAGCTGACCTCTGCCCCCTTGGGGCTGTAGTTCCTGGACGCTGGGCCTGGTGCAGCAGGGCCGGCGGTCAGAGGGTGGGGCCCAGGCAGGGCTGGAGGTTGGGAGCCGAGCCCGGGCCCTGACCCTTCTCCCGCCAGCTCTGGCAGTTCGGCCGCTGGGTGGACGTCGTGGTGGACGACAGGCTGCCCGTGCGCGAGGGGAAGCTGATGTTCGTGCGCTCGGAACAGCGGAACGAGTTCTGGGCCCCGCTCCTGGAAAAGGCCTACGCCAAGTGAGGACCCCGCTCCCCCCCGCC